TCCCATATAAAATGTTAATTAGCATCTGTCATAGGGTTTCTGGTCCAATCCAATTTTAAAGAGCAATATGGTTTGGGTATGTGATAATAAAGGAGAAAGAAATGGACAAAAGTCCCCATATGGTGTGTTCCAATGTATGTTAGATTCTCAAACTGTGACTACGAGTATGGAGCGGTGTAGGGAGGGTGGTAGGAGGCGGGAAAACATGCACTTTTTTTTTTAAAATAAAATTGCATCTATACAATATTTATAAGTCAGGATGACTTGATAAAACCTAGTGGAACATCTAAAAATTACCATTTTGGATGCATCATCATCATATCATGGATTACTACCAAAAACTTTTTCTTTTTTGCATAGAATAGAGAAAGGTTGGAACCCCTTTTAGGGCTTCCTAATTTCTAGGGCTCCGTTACAGAGATTTCCCCTCACTTTCTGTCCTGGGGACAAACTTTTACCAGACCGGAAGTGTGGGAAAATCTGCAAAAGGGAAGCAGACAACAATAAAAAGTTGACAGAGGTTCTAGCATTCCTGTTATTTAAAAAACAAAACATTTTTTACTACTGTCCATGTTGCAGTGAGAGATTTCCCCTCACTCTTCGCTGGGGACAACCTTTTTTTTCACACAATGGGTGAAGATCTCTCTCCAACAGAGCCTCTGACTGCAGTAAAACCTGACAGGAGTTCCACACTCTTATCTGAATCTAAAAAAAAAAACAAAAACATTTTGGGTATATTTACACTTTAAGGAAAACTATTGGTATTTGGTGAAAAGTTTATTTTTTTTATTACTCTGTTTATGTCTATAAATTGATGATGACCTTTTTAAAATATTGTATAAAAGCTTTAAGCATCTATTAGATGGTGTATCCGTGACAAAGCATACTGGGCTTTCTTAAGAAAGCTCAGCACTGCCTACAATGTTGTCACTCTGCGAGTAATTAAATTGGTCCATCTTGCTTGAATAGAGGAAGGGGGGGTGTGTCCGCTCTGACACACAGCGATTTCTCACAAAACAGCTGCAGAAAATACATGTAGAAAACTCCTGTCTCCAAACTTGTTGGTGGAACTGTACATTTAATTTACATGCATTTGACCCAATAATGCTGGAACGTTAATTTTAAGTGTAGCTCAGCTTTAGGGCTGTGTTGTATTTCAATTGTGTTTTTGCTTTCTGATATCTGCATAAACTTTGAGCTTGAGGCATACTGGAAACTCTGATGAGATGTTTAGAGTGTTGCCCTGTCATAAGCGTGCCTTTGTCAGATCTAAGCTGTGGCATGTTACCTCATTTGGTTTCAGCAGCTGAAATAAGAATGCATTAGAGAAACAGGATGGTTGCGGCTTTGCAGTGAGCAGTAACCTTCCTGTCACAGTTTTTTTTTTTTTTTTTTCAGAGAAGCCCCTGAG